GCAATTTGCTGGGTGTGGACAGGCTGATGTGCAGCTGTGGAAGTGCCGGGGAAGGTCTGGTTTTGAATCTAGTGTCTCAGTGCAAAATTTTTTACAGTGTTGAAGCCAGACTGTGGAATTAATAATGCTGTGTTGGGATCTGTTGAAATCAAGAGAGAAGATTTCTTATTAGTGTTTTACTTCTCATTATTAAACTTTGTCCTCTTAGCGGATGGATGAGGATGAGTACCTAAAACTTGACTTTTTAATGTAAGGCATCACAGTGATGGTTTTGAAGAGAAGCAAATGCTATGGAGAGAACATTTATAGGACTAGTTATAAACCTCTGCACAAACCTTTAAAAAACAAAAAAACCTCAAACCTACCAAAACGTGCTGTTGCGTATATTAAGTGATCACAAGCAGTAAGAACATGGAAATGGCTGGGTCCTTGGTGTTCTGACAGTAATTCTGAACTATTTAGAAGTGACAGAGTGAAACTGCAGAAATGCCGATGATGCTATGATGCTTACTCGTGTGGGGCTAAATCGGTGGTAGGAGTACTGTAGCAATACTTCCTGAAAAGTTTCAGGAGCTGGTCTAATTCCATACACTGGAGGGCATGCATGGGTACGCCAGCTATGAGTGATAATGAATATGTCTGGTACGATTTGGATACACACTCATCTCCATAAAACTAGGCTGCTTCAATGTAGACATAGAGAAGGCCCTTTACTGTCATTTGGTTACTGCAGTTCTGTGGTAGATTGACATTAGACTTGTATCTGTGTTGATTTGTGCAGTCCTCCTGTAGTTTTGCTTAAAAACCAAATAAACACATTTTGATACCTAAAATGTAGGACTAAAATGCACAACTAAAAATTAAAAGCCCACCCTTCCCCTTTTTTTTTTCCCCTGACACCTCCATCTCTTTTTGTAGAAACGGTAACTCTTTTTACTGTGAGTGATTTTAAGGGTCACTTTCGTGAAATCTGACAAAATTACAAAATAGAGGCTTTTGCTTATAAATCTTAGCGTCTAGAACTGCCTGTTTGTTTTATTTGGGAACAGATTAAGTCTTTGATAAGGCTGACAGCTTGAAATAGCGTGTATAATCTGTGTATGTCCAAGAAACTTTTATCTGAAACCATCGGGGAAAAAAGATAAATGTCGCTTAAACAGTTCTACCATAGCACTTGGAAATTAATGTCCGTTTATTTTTAGCAGTCTTTTTTTAATGCTGCTTTATCATGCTTTGTCAATTGCCAATTTTATTTTCTTTAAATCTGGCTGTTTGAGCAAGTGGTTTATGATGACACAGGGCTCTTATGCTCAGTAACTTTAGTTTGTTCAGTTATTCCATTCTGTTGATGTATGTATCAGTTGTTTGGGATGGGGAATCTGATACAAGTTCTAGACAGAACAGTTGAAACTTGGGACTTACAAAAGTTGGTCTTACTATAACGTCCAATAAATGAGTAGTGATCCATGGGTTCGAGCATGGTTGTCCGTTTGGCCTTCTGAATATTTGTCATGGAGTATGTTTTCTGTGAATCGGAGCTCAGTCTATAAGGTTTGGTAAGTGACTTCATAGCTGGCACCTGCAAATCAGTCAAGAGTGTATGTGTTACTGAATGATCATACAAATTAGTTTTGAATTTACTTCCTCTGAAAAACCACAAGGTTGTTTAAGCACATGATCAATACAATCAGATGGCGTGAATATAAATAAAGTGGAAAAATAAAGCAAGAACTGACAGAGTTCAGTGATCATGGATTTGGAATGTTCTTCTTTAAAGCTCTTTATCCGTTAGCCTAAATAATTTAAATGTATTTTTAATGTTAGCTTATGCCACATGGTATTGAAGTTGAAAGGCTTTCCTAGGTTATCCAACACTTACTGTGCAGAGTAGCCTCCTGTGCAGAGTAGCCTCTACAAGCCTAAAGAAATTATTGTCATTTGAATTATGATAAATTAGTATCACTTTTTTATCAATTGTCCTCTAACAGGTGTATGCAAGACAGTCTTATTTTGGATGAGGCAACTGAGTATGAATACTGAAGCGTAACGCTGCATTTATAAGCATTAACTGAAGTAATTGAAGGCCTCAAATTCAGTCAATCTGGAGAGCTGCATTGCTTCTTATTTTAAGAATTTCTGAAGGTTTGTTGTCTATTACTAAAGAAATCTATTCTGCTCTAGCAGGTTCAGGAACAATCTGATTTGGAAATGAGTGAGGTTCTTCACCTTTATAACAAGCAGAAGGAAACGCTGCTTTTTTTTGTTTCGTTGTTTTGAGGCAGTTTGTTGTGTGATAAAGGTGTTGGGGCTGGGCATCCAGAGCGTCTCCACTAAAGTCTGTAACTTTCTCTGGATTTACCCAGATCCAGAGCGTCTCCACTAAAGTCTGTAACCTTCTCTGGATTTACCCACGTATGAATGCAGAGAGTGGAACTTACTCTAAAATACAGACACTTTGACATAAGAACACTTGTGTCTGGTCTGAGACATCCAGGCATCTGACTGTCTTTACTATGAAATTAGAAATAATTATGTTATAGAATTGAAGGACTGTTACAAAGCATTTCTATTGGGATTTACTTGTTCTACGTGTATGGGAGAGTAGTAGCTTGTATTTTAAATGGCAGTTGTGTGGCTTTGATGGACAAATATGTCTCTGTAGAATCGTCTCATGTCATGCAAAACCTATTTTGCATGAGTTAATTTGATATTAATGAAATATGTATTGCCTGTGGCATTATTATCCTGTTTTTGAATAGATTGGTAAAATGTTATAAAAAATCTTAAAAATCCATTTGCCAAGGTAGTGTGAAATTCACGTGTGGTCTGCCTCCCCCTCCCCAGTTTTTCCTTGAAAATGTTTTTAGTACTTGTGCTTGTAGAGTTTTGTCCTGCAAGCATGTATAAGCCCCTGGATCATCTGCATTTGGACTGGGGCTTAAATTTGGATTTGTAACAACAACAAATGGAGCCCTAGCTGATGGATGTTGTTGCTTTTCTGAGCTGAACTGCTCTCTGTAAATTATTCTGTAGCCCAGGTGTTTTCTAAAGCATTACTTTGGCGTATTCCTGTTTCCTCTCTCAGTTGAGAAATGTATCATGTTACCAGTCTGCATGAATCGTGCCCGATGAACAACAACTGCTTGGGCACCACCAGACTTCTTTTTGGGGGTTAGCTGCATTCTTTGGATGTCAACAAAAAGTGTACTTTGAGGCAATTTGGGGATTTTTTGCGCTCAGTGTCTTTACTGGGCTTCACAATGCTGTGGTGTGGTCTCTTTGCTTGTGTAGTTGCAGAGAACAGTTGCAATCTGACTGCTGCCACCACAGAAAGACCCTTCCTTATTTCCAGTGTCCCAAACAGCAGCTAGGATACCGCCAGAGGAACCAGCAGACTTTAGTGCTAGTTTAGGGGCTGACTTCTTTGGCTCCCAGAGGTTATGCTGCTCTGACCGTAGCTGTTAAGAGACGGTTGTTTTCTAAGTATGTCGACAAAAATATGTCAACACTGTTTTGTGCTATAGCACCTACAAAAATCTGCATGTAACGTTTTTTAATTCTTTTTTTTAAATTTTATATATATTCTGGAGAAAGAAATTGTGACCTCTTAGAGGGGCAATTGAAGATACTTCAAACACAGTAATAATCCCCCTTTCCCTCCTTCTGAATTAGCTAGTCCATCTTTTTCAGAATTTAGGGATTGACACATCTGCTAGTGGAGCTTTGGGGTAGTAGTTGCAACCTCTAGTAGTTGCTAATTCTTCAGCGGTACCAGTCAAGTTGTTCTAGCAATGAATTGTGGCCTTTTTCCAGTGTAAAAAAATGAGAAGATGGTTACTGAACAAATGATATGACTGTAGTTGTATAAGTATACCAATATAGCTGCTGGGAGGGAGGTCTGTCCTAGAGAAATAAACTGGTTTTTTAATATAGAATAAACCATACTGACATAACCATAACCATAACATAACCATAACCACTGTCTAACAGTAGACAGTATCTGAGAAGGAGAAAATAACCATGTGCTTATTTAATGTTTGTGAAGTTTGCTGAAATGGGAGTTTTTTGTGTTCTTACTAGAATCAGCTTAACACCAGCCCCTCCACTGTGTATCTTTTGGTCTTAGTGTGTTTCTGGCATATCTATACAGGGCTTTGTGTAGTGTTATAATATCTTCCAGGATTTATTTGCAGAGTTTGGGAAGGGGGAGACTCTATTTTAAGGAGCTGGAGATGTCAACCTTCTCTATTCTGTTGTTGGAAATCTGTTCCTTAAATTTTGGAACCTTGATTATAATTTGTTAGGAATTGTGGCAACTTTAAATTTTCAAGGCATTTTGATAATATTGGGCTAACATTCTATTAAGGAATTTACTTGCAAAATAGATTTTTCTAGACACTGTGTTGTCCCTTCACATGCAGATTCAGTTTGTAGTAGGAGGCAATGTGGAAAGGAAGAAAACTACTTAAAACCAAAATGTTTTAGTTCTGCTGAACAAATGAACAGGATATTTTTTGTGCTGAACACTCAGGAGTCGCATATCTTACGTTACTGAAATTAAGATTTATGTCATTAGTTTCAAATAAACTTGGAATTTAAAATGTCAAAAAATCAGTTATTAGTAAGTTCTGTTTTGGATTAAGGCAATAATCTTTTTTTTCTTAATCCTGAAATCTATGTAGCAAAAATAATCACATTCAAAGGTAAGCTTTCTTTTTTTCCTCCTCCCCTTCCTTCACTTTTTGCTGTTGAAACTTTTTCCCTGTAAGTATCATTAATGCTCACTTGAAAAAAAGAAAACGAATGAAAAAAAGGTAAAAAAATAATCTCTTTAAATGTATATCCCTAATTTCTTTGTAGGAAAATTAGAACTTTCAGTTAAGATGCACTTTGTCTTTGTTTAATTAGTGGTTGATTAAACCTAACTGGTTTAATCACAAACTGGTTGGTTTAGTTTGAATAGCTTTTGCTCTTGCCTCTAAACCAGCTCTGTTGGGAGAATGAAGGCTGTTCGAACAGTGAAAGTCAGAGAAAGAATTTTAACAAGGTAAGAGGGAGGCTGAGAAATCCATCGTTCTCTGCCTTTCAGTAATGCTTACAAGAAACATTTGGAGGAAGACAACTTTGAACCTGAAATTGAAAAGGATGGTTTTGTGGTTAAGGAATTGGTTTGCACTGGAGATGTAGATTCTGGTTGGAGAACTGCCATGGACATTTCTCTTGTATCCAGGCAGGTAACCCAAGTTCTTTGTTCCTCAGCTGCTTGTGTCACATGGTGTCAGGGCTGCTTATGCCTATGCAGAGGATAAATTTATATGACGCTTAATAATCTAATGCATAAGATGCTTGATGATAATGTAAGAAAAAAAATCTGTTTAAAACGAATGAGACTCGGGCATTTTCACTCAGGCAGTATATTTGGCATTTGCAAGTGCACTTCAGAGCTGAGCAGCAGTCTTGTACCAGAGGGAATGAAGTGACAGACAAAATAAGAGCATGGTCTTCCTTTCACCCAGATGTCACACTTAGCTTTCAGACAGTGAAAAGAAGTGGCAGTTGGCACTAACACTGAAGCACTTACTTACCCTTAGCTGGGTTTTGTTATTACTAGCTCATTTTGCTGCTGGCTTTTTGAATGGTGATTTCTGTGCTTAGCAACGCAATGATAAATGTAGTTAGAGGGAGCACACATACACTTGCTGGCTCGTTTAAAAAAATGCACCAGGTTATGAATACTGATTTTGTTCATGTAGGAGAAGTGACAGTAAGCTGTTAAACTAAGTAATGTATCTGGAATCTTTTTATGAGTATATAAGAAAAGTATTCAAAAGATTTCCCCAGTCATTTTATATTTAAAAACAATTGTTTAATAATAAGAATGTATTTGGGCTTTAGCTTCTCCTAATATTCTTACTTTGTTCTTTATGATGTATTTAAAAGGCTGACCCTTCTAAGTAAATAGGATGTTAAAAATTGCCATAATACTGGTTTTTAATGTAAAATTATATTTGTTAAATATGTACTATAATGAATGATGAAACAAAAAGTATTGAATTTGGTTCAACTAAAAATGCTGACTATTCTTGGTCCTAATACACTTCCACAACTTTATTTTCAAGGATCTTGTCATTGTGCTTTAGATTTTGTAGGCTTTTGTGGATATCTTAGCGAGATGTCTGATTACTTTTTGGAACCTAATCCAGGGAGGCAAAGTTTGCTTAGTATTTAACTGTTGCATATAAAAATGTTTCAATAAATGCTGTCTAAATGCTACTGCACTTCTCTTTCCAAGACGGCATTTAATTAGGAGGTAATTTAAAGTTGAAGAATGTAGGTCCTTAACTACCCAGTTCTGTAGCACAGGCCATAGAATTTGTCATGGTTTCTGTTCCACCTAGACTTGTGTTTCTCTTTGGATATATATCTTGAGAATTTTTCTTCCAGTGATAGCGGATTCTTCACCATAGCTATGGGAACAATTTGCCTAGCTTTAATCACTACTTAAAAAATTGCCTGTTGTTCTTAATACATGTCAGCCTTTGACTTTTCACTGAATCTCATTATCCTGGTTGTGTATGAGACTGAAGATACCTCTTATCAAATTGAATTTCTATGTGCAGTCTTTTTGAGCAGGCTAGGTTATCTTTTGTCTGTATTTGGAGTATCTAGACCAATGGAGTTTTCTTGCTGCAAGTCAGATCTCCCAGTAATTTTAATAATTTATGATAGTTCTGATTATTATTTGGTATTTCAATGTTTTTCTTCACATGTGGACACCAGAACTATGTACAGTTTCAGCTGTGGTTGCACTGGGGATCAAATACAGGGGTAATGCATCCCATTTCCTCCAACTCAATATTCCCTGCTTAAAACATTCAAAGACCATTAGCTTTTTAGGTTTCCATCATTATTTTTTGAAAACTAGGTTGTTAATTTTGCCTCGTAAGTTTAACTGTTAGTCTAACTACACACAACACTGAGACCTCATATTCCTTGGTGCTGCCTGGGTTCTCCAGACAGGTATCTTCATACCCACACTCTTGTTACTTCCTACTTGCTTTGCTTAAGCAGTCTGTGGCGCAACACCCTGGTGCGTGTTACGCCGTTTTCTCCTGATATCCGGTATACTTCTTGATCCAGTAACATATGGCATAGTACTACCAAAATGAGTGCCAGAAGTCTCAAAATGAAGAGTAGCACTTAACAATCCTTTTTTGGATGGGAAGGTGATGAAAAGGAGTGCTGTGGGAGTTGTCTCCCTGCAGTATGCTCTCTCCACGGTTAGCATGTTTTTGCATATCCCCAGTGATACTTCTTGGGCTTTCTCATGGTGTGTGTATGCCCTGTTTTTGAGGGGGTAAAAATAGTAGTTAATTATATGTTTACAGAAGACAATAATTTTAAAATATAGTTGAGGAAGCTAATTATTAGTTGGAAGAATTACTTGGACAAAATAATCAGTAGATTTTCCTTACCCTGAATTTTTATGAGTCAGTGCTTTTCCAGGTAAATCCTCTGTCTTGTAATTATGACTTTTTTGTCACTAAATGTATGATTTTACTTTGACAGTATTGGAATGCATGTTGTTTGCTGATGATAGCTTATTTTTGTTATCAGCAATCTTTATGGAAATTTTTTTTCCCAACTAAGTCATTGCTAAACATTCCTGCACTTGGGTCACAGCGACCCCATGCAATGCTACAGGCTTGGGGAAGAGTGGCTGGAAAGTTGCCTGGCAGAAGAGGATCTGGGGGTGTTGGTCGACAGCTGGCTGAATATGAGCCGGCAGTGTGCCCAGGTGTCCAAGAAGGCCAATGGCATCCTGGCCTGTATCAGAAATAGTGTGGCCAGCAGGAGTAGGGAAGTGATTGTCCCCCTGTACTCAGCACTGGTGAGGCCGCACCTCGAATACTGTGTTCAGTGTTGGGCCCCCTCACTACAAGAAGGACGTTGAGGTGCTGGAGCGTGTCCAAAGAAGGGCAACGAAGCTGGTGAAGAGTCTGGAGAACAAGTCTGATGAGGAGCGGCTGAGGGAACTGGGGCTGTTTAGCC